AGCTGTGAACTCACACATTAGGAAAACAGAACGGGAACAAATAAACACCATAATGCTGCACCTTCAACAAGTAGAAAAGGAAGAGCAAACCAAACTCAGAGATGTCCATCACCTGAGGAATGGTTGAGCAAGATGTGATATTTTTACACAATGGAGTATTATTTAGCTATTAAGAATGACAAATTGCAAGCCTTTATATTGAAGTGGATGCCACTTGAACATATACTCATAAGTGAAATAAACCAGACACTCATGTGTAAATATCATATAGTCTCCCTAGTATAAGAACTCCAAAGAAGAAATACAAACAGAAAGATATAATACAAGTAAAAGTAAAGCAGGATCTAAAGGACTAACTAATCAAGGGAGGGAAAGGAGAAGAGCTAGGAAACATGACAATGTCAAGCCATATAGTTATATGTAAAAGATGAACAAGGCAATGATCCTGAGAATCTTCAGAAGACTTTTTAATATAGCAGTTAATTGGAAAGATTCTCACCCTGACTAAGTATATTTACTGATACCTGTGAACTAAGCTACTGCACTGCAGATGGTAATTTGTAACAGTAGTTTCATGTTTGGAGTGCCTGTCATTCTGGTAGTCTGAATATAGGCGGCTTGTCATGACATGCCATTTGCTGCTATGATGTGTCTCGGGTAGGTGGTTGTTCAAGAAGGGGTTGGTGAATGAAAGCAAGAGACAGGAAAAGGAATATTGTGGGATTTTCCTGCTTCAAGGTTGTATATGATGAGATTTTTGGACTTATGTGCAAACATGAGAAGTATATAATTCTTTATCCTATTTTTAAAATATAATGTAATTTTTAAAATGTTTTTATCATATTATTCAGGGACTTAAAGTTCAACATATCAATACTTGATGAAGAATAACTGCTCCTTCTTATGCCTAAGATGTTTGAAATGCAGTGAGATAGTGAGGTTAAGCTTAACACCTAAATTGTTCGATAATAACAATAAGCTTGTCTTCTGGATGGTTAACAACCTAAGTTTTCAGATCAAAATTAGAGAAAAAGGAGGGCTACAAGGAATGCCAGCATTTTGGCCCTAACTTTCTAAGGTCAATTAAGACTCAGGACATATGAGAACTTGTACTGTAACGTCATGTACCTCGGTAGTGTCCCAAATTTTCTGATCAAGAAGATTA